TAAGTAGAGGTTCCACTGTACTGGTTTATGTGGACAAATAGTCTAACTGGCTATAAGACAGGTTTTTCTTTTCTTTTAATTAATTATCCTCCCTTTCTCCCAACTTGGGACCTAAGGTGGCTGACAATCTTGAGTTAAAACAAAATACAGTTAAAACAATGGATAGTTGAAAAAAATAAAACGATAAAAACGATCATATTAAAAACATTAATTTAAAACATTTTTCAAAGGCAGTTAAAATATAGTAATTATGGTAAAGAAACACATACAGTGCACCTGAATTAAAAGATCTTTTGTACTAGCTTCTTAGCATTCAAATGCCTGGGTAATCAGAAAAATCTTCACCTGCTGAAGGAAGAAGAGCTGAGAGGGAGTCAACTTAGCCTTCCATGGGAGAAAATGTCACAGTCTGTGAACAGCCACCAAGAAAGCCATCTCCTGTGTTCTCATCACTGGAGGTGGCAGGAAGGGGGGGCAAGCCCTTAGACAACAGTCCATGCCTGCAGTCAGCTTTGTGCACACTTAGCAAAGTGTTCTTTACTTTAAGAAGGTCTTTTTCCAATACAACCCAGTTTATGTTCAGAGCACAGCTGAACAGTTTGCTTCCCACTGACACTTTGGTCCCATCTCTTGCCCAGGTATTACTACCCTAATGTCCGAGACCAGATGGTTGCCCGTGGGACATTGCCACTATCGCGCCTGTGTGCCATGGTGACCATGCAGCACCGGGAGGCTGTGGGGATCCAGACCTTCAGTTTACCCTTGATCCCCAGAACTGAAAGCTCAGGAGAACACCATGCCCATTCCTCAGGTAACAGAAGACATTTCTAACATGCACGGAGCACTTTCAGTCAAGCCCAGGGTTGACTGAACAGAAAGCCCATACATGTATTTCTTTTTTCTCCACTCCATTTCTTTCTCCAGGTTTCCTTGATGTGAGCATCAGGTACAGACGCTCCCTGAAAGTAGCCAAAGGCATCCTGGCGGCTCAGACTGTTTCTATTTCTGTTCAGATACACTCTGCAGCTGGTTTGCAGGCAGCAGCCAGGTAAGAAGGAACCAAATGCTAAAATGGACGTTTTACCTATTTGTCACCATCTAGTGGTCAGGAAAGGTCTAATTTTTTTCCTGATGCAAACAGAGCTTATTGTCAGAGAGGGTATGCAGTGCACTTAGGCTCCACAAGATAAGGAGGCCTCGTTGGCCTTCTAAGGGCTTGGAGGGAGCACATATACCTACTCCCAAAAATAAAAATTAACCAAAAAGGAGCTTGGAGGGAAATTTTATCACTTTTGGGTCTGCCCTAGGCAGGTTTTAGTTCAGGAAGGGCATTTTTTGTCAACAAGAATTGACTGCAAAGGCAATTTCCTGGTTACTTCCTGTTATGAAAAAAAAAGCATCTCCTGAGCCTAAAACTGCCAAGGAGGCATTTTTTAAAAAAGGTAAGGGGTTGCATCCCATAGTGTGATATGAAGCGGTATATAAATGAAGCTGCTTTGCTTTGCTTTGCTTTGCTTTGCTTTGCTTTGCTTTGCTTTGCTTTGCTTTGCTTTGCTTTGCTTTGCTTTGCTTTGCTTTGCTTTGCTTTGCTTTGCTTTGCTTTGCTTTGCTTTGCTTTGCAGCTATCACCAAATAGCCCTGGGGCCACATGTGGCCCATGGGCCACCTTCACTACCTCTGGGCTATAGCAAAGTGACACTTTAATCCGTAGCCTTCACAGAAAGTATCACTGTTCAGCATTGCCAGGGTCAGCTTAATGACTCCAGCTTTTTGCACTTATACATTACATTATGAAAGGTTAGATAGATAATTAAAAAGAACTCTAGGAAGTAACATTCAGTTAACAGGAAGAGCTTGGCGCTGTTACTAAGTCATGGCAGCATTAGGTCAGTGGACCTTGGCAGGGTGGTTGATAGGGTGACTTGGAGGTCTGTCATTCATGGGGTCACCATAAGTTGAGGTTGACTTGACAGCAGTTAACAGCAACAACAATGTGCATCTTCTCCCTACATAAAGGATCCCAGGTTCGTTCCCTGCCATGTCCAGCCAAAATGACCAAATGGGACCTGATAAGAGAGCTCCTTACTAATGCCGCGGAAACTCTCTGAAGATGCCAGCCACAGATGCAGGCGAAATGTCAAAAATACATTCTTCTAGAACAGGGGTAGGCAACCTTTCCCCTTTAAGGGCCGAGGGACTTTGGCTCCCAGAAGCCTCAGCCATGTTGGCCAATAGTCCCATGTTGGCCAATAGCTCCTGGGATTCTGGGAGCTGAAGTCCCTTGGCCCTTAAAGGGGAAAGGTTGCCTACCTCTGTTCTAGAACATGGCCTCACAACCCAAAAAACCCACAAAAACCTATGGATGCTGGCTGTGAAAGCCTCGACTTCACGCTGGGGAAACTGCTT